TTGAGATCGTTACAAATTTTAAACCAACCAACACAACATTGGGATACACTGTTGATATACATTTTATTAAATAAGTTAGACAAAACAACGGCCAGGGAGTGGGAAGAAACCAAGGTCAAATGCGAAAGCCAAACGTCATCCAACAACAAAACGGTGCCACCTACTCTAGAAGAGTTTGCATCCTTTATTAGAAAGAGAGCAGATCTTTTGGAAACGCTATCCTTGACAAAGGACTCAAAAGGTAACAAGTCAAGGGTATCGTATCACATGCAAACAGGGGAAACTCAAGGTAAGGAACATAATAGACAGGTTACTTGTATTTATTGTAAACAGCGTCAACATTTTATACAGGGTTGTCCGGAGTTTCTTAATTTATCCATAGAGCACAGAACACAGGCAGTAAATAAACATCGTCTTTGCGTAAACTGTTTGCGAAACAATCACAATGTAAGGCGTTGCTTTGCAGGTTCTTGTCGAAAGTGTGGTCAACGTCATAATACGCTACTTCATGTAGAGAAAGCCAATACATCCGTAAATCATGTGTCTTCTGTTTCGAACGTTCCTCAGCAATATTCTCAAGTAATAAACGAAAGTATTCCTCTACAAACTCTTTCTTATTGTCAGAAATCAAGCGAACCGAAAGTTCTTCTCTCAACAGTCCTAGTTAATGTTGAAGATAGGTTTGGAAATCTACAAATGTGTAGAGTCCTTTTAGACTCAGGGTCTCAGTCAAACTTTATAACCAGTGATACTGTCAAAAAACTAGGTTTAACCACATCTATGGTAGACATATCCGTGACAGGTATCAATAAAACTACCTCAATTATAAACCGAAAGTGCCAGGTCGCAATTCAATCTACTCAAAATTCATTTTATTTAAATCTAACTTGTCTTGTCGTACCTAAAATAAACGAAAGTTTACCAAATCATCCTATAGACACTTCAGCGTGGAATATTCCCTCCAATGTGGTTCTTGCGGACCCTACCTTTAATCAAGTTACGGAGGTTAATATGTTGATTGGAGCAGAGTATTTCTACAGCCTAATAAGCATCGGTCAAATTAAACTGGGTAAGGACTTACCTGTCCTCCAAAAAACTGTTTTTGGATGGGTGGTGTCAGGGCCAGTTCATACCGGTCAACCTCGAAATGTACATTGTCACTTAAGCACAAGTAACAGTGACGAGGATATTCATAACTCTATTCGTAAGTTTTGGGAAATTGAGGAACCATTTTCTGATACTCCAGAATGGTCAGAAAATGAACGAAAGTGTGAAGAGATTTTCACCAAAACCACGTCTAGGGACGAAAGTGGACGTTTTGTGGTACAAATCCCTTTAAAGGACTCTCCAGCTCTTCTTGGAGAATCCAAGCAAACTGCCATAAGCCGATTGAATTCGGTAGAAAGACGTCTATCAAAAAATCCAAAGTTACAATCAATGTATACCGATTTTATGATGGAATATTATAATCTTGGTCATATGTCTAAGGTCAAAAACTCGAAAGTGCCAGAGGTAGAATACTTTCTCCCTCACCATGGCGTGTTCAACGAAAGTAATCAAACGACAAAACTTAGAGTCGTTTTCGACGCCTCTTGTCGAACGACGTCCGGTCTGTCATTTAATGATATCCAACTAATAGGCCCTACAATCCAACAAGATCTTATCTCTATCTTGTTAAGATTTAGGCAATACCCAATAATGCTTTGTGCAGATATCATTAAAATGTATCGCCAGATCCTGGTTCAGTTAAATCAACGCCCTTTACAACGTATTGTTTGGAGGGATGAGTCGACAGACAATATTCAAACATTCCAGTTAAATACGGTTACGTACGGCACTGCTTCGGCACCATGGTTAGCCGTCCATTGCCTTAAGGAATTGGCTTCAGAAAGCTCAGTTCAATTTCCTAAAACTTCGAAGGTTATACTGGAAGACTTTTACATGGACGATGTACTCACTGGTTGTTCCACAGAAAGTGAAGCCAAACAGCTATGTGATGAGCTACACATTATCCTACAAAGAGGCTGCTTTCAACTACAAAAGTGGGCATCTAATAATCAAAACGTTTTGAACCATGTTCAGGCTACCAACCCAGAAGCTTTATTAAAGCTCGGCGATTACGAAGGACTAAAACATTAGGTCTCTTTTGGGACTGCAAAGGTGATAATTTGACCTACAAAATCAAAATAAATCAATCAGATGGATCCGTATGTAAAAGGTCCATTTTATCAGACATATCTAAAATATTTGACCCGCTTGGACTAGTCAGTCCTTGCATTATAGTGGGAAAAATACTAATGCAACAGCTTTGGATGATCAAAGTTAGTTGGGATGAATCACTTCCAACTGAAATACATACCAAATGGTGTAAGTTCCGACAAGAACTAGAACATCTAAATCAATGTGAAATTCCAAGACACATTATATGCGAATGTCCTATCAAAATCGAAATCCATGGTTTCTGCTATGCATCGCTGGAAGCCTATGGCGCGTGTATATTTTTACGAAGCATTGATCTCTCTGGTAATATTAACGTTAAGCTTCTTTGTGCAAAGTCTAGGGTTTCTCCCTTAAAATCCCTAACAATTCCCAAGCTGGAGCTGTGTGGGGCGCTTCTTTTGTCACAGCTTGTGAAGAAAACAGAGGCTTCCTTGAATTTGGATATCAGCGAGATCTTTCTTTGGTGTGATTCCTCCGTAGTGTTGTGCTGGATCAAAACGCAACCTAATCTTTTACAGACATTTGTTCAACACAGAGTGTCACAGATTCAGCAGACCACAACTCCAGATCGTTGGTTCTATATCAGAACTAAAGAGAACCCTGCGGATATCGTATCGCGAGGGTGTACCCCACAATTCTTATTGAAATCGTCTCTTTGGTGGTCTGGTCCACCATGGCTATCTCAGTCTTCAGATTCTTGGCCAAGTCATAAACAAGAACTGTTGGCATCAATTCCAGAGCTTCGTAAACAAACCGTAACATTTCTAGTTACTGATCCTGCCATAACCTTTCCGTTCAAGAACTTTTCTAAGTTCAATCGTTTAAGGCGAACAATGGCATATGTACATAGGTTTATTTTTAATCTAAAGGCAAAACGTTCCGGTCGAAAGGTAGGGGTCTTGACGTCAGTCGAACTCAATCAAGCTCTTTTAACCTTGACAAAACTAGCTCAAATCGAAAGTTTCGCAGAGGAAAGGCAAGCTTTGTTAAATCACAAACCATTACCTAAAACATCTCGTTGCTCAGATCTCAACCCTTTTCTGGATCAGGAGGGAATTTTGAGAGTTGGGGGCAGATTGCAAGCCTCTTCATTTTCTTATGACAAAAAACACCCGATCTTACTACACCATAAACATGTTTTAACCAAACTCATTTTCGAACATGAACATACTCGGTTATTCCATGCATCACAACAACTTTTATTGTCCTCAATTCGAAATAAATTTTGGCCCTTATCTGGACGAAGCTTGGCCAGAAAAACCGTTCGTTCTTGTGTGGATTGTTTCCGAGCTAAACCATATCAAACAAATCCTATTATGGGAAACCTGCCGCAAGCTAGAGTTTCCCCAGCTCCTCCATTTAACACAACAGGTGTTGATTACGCGGGTCCTTTCCAACTCAAGGAAAGAAAGGGTCGAGGAGTAAAATCTTGGAAGGCATATCTATGCCTATTTATTTGCTTCACAACTAAAGCGGTTCACTTGGAACTCGTAAGTGACCTGACTACGGAGGCCTTCTTGGCCGCGTTTCGAAGGTTTTGCGCCAGACGAGGCAAGCCGTCGCAGATTCACTCAGATAATGGTACTAATTTTACCGGAGCAAATAATGAACTCAAAGAGTTATCACAATTCTTATACGCTAACGAAAATACCTTAGGTGAGTCTTTAAACGACATCGGTGTATCCTGGAGCTTCATACCAGCTTATTCGCCGCACATGGGGGGCTTTGGGAAGCAGGTATAAAGTCAGCAAAATTACACCTTAAACGCGTAACAAAAAATATTATCTTTACATTCGAAGAGTTATCAACTTTGTTAGCTGAAATAGAGGCAGTGCTGAATTCGCGACCCTTAAGTCCGTTATCCAATGATCCCAACGATTCCTTAGCACTAACCCCAGCTCATTTCCTTATTGGTCAACCTTTGACATCTATACCTGACCCAACACTCGAAAGTATTCCTATATCCCGTCTTTCTCGCTATCAGCTGGTGCAGCAAATCAACCAGCATTTTTGGAAAAGATGGTCGCAAGAATTTGTGAGTGAACTTCAAAGGCGAACCAAGTGGAAGTACCATAATCAACCTGTGAAGGAGGGCATACTCGTCGTAATCAAGGAAGATCATTTACCTCCACTAAAATGGATGCTTGGTCGCATCATAGAGTTGCATCCAGGTAGCGACAAAATTGTTAGAGTCGCCTCCATCCGAACCTCCAGTGGTATCATCCGCAGATCAGTTGCCAAGATCTGCCCGTTACCAGTAGAAGATAGTGAAGATTGAAAACTTCTGCAAGTTTCCAATGGGGGGAGCATGTTAAAGACAGTTTTATTTATATTTTAATATAGACGCGGCAACCGCGCACCGCGAAGTTTGTACGTCGGCTTGGTTCTTAACCGTCGTTGAGAACAACAATTGTAAATCCGAAAGTCAGACAATAAAGACATGTTTTCTGTAGTTCCTTAGTCAATTCAATCCAACTAAATCGAAAGTAAAATCCCACATAGCGGGAAGTAAAACAATATAACATGTAGATGTATGTCAGAGTAACAGATTATTCCTAGCGCCATTCAACAACATCTTCCAACAATGCAGTTGCTTATTCATTTAATTTTTTAATAAAATCCCGTCAAATATATATATATATATATATATATATATATATATATATATACATATATATATATATATATATATATATATATATATATATATATATATATATATATATATATATATATATATATATAGTCTAGTACCACAAAACATATTCAAATATACTTACCCATCTTTTTTAACCTATCACAACCTGAGAGTTCTGAATTCGTCCTACTCGAATCCTCATCTAACCTTTCGTATGGAGGGTCGTCCAATTCTTTAACACTCTCATAATTAGGATCGTTATGATTAACTGATTCATAATTAGGATCAGACTCACTGCTATTCGATTTAGAACTTTCATAATTTGGTTCCACGGAATGCTCATTTTGCATGCTTTCGTAATTTGGCTCATCTTTTGCGTTACACACCGACAAAGTAATATTCTTTTTCACGATAGAATAACCATCCTTTAAATCCGTGATTTTTGTATAAGCTGAACTGTCACTAGCGTTTGATGTCCGATGTCGTAGTTCTTCGTAATTCGGATCGGTCTCGGAAGGGGCTCTAGAAAATTTGGAAAACAGATTTGAATTTTAATTATTACTATATATATTATCAAAAAGTTAAAATTAGTTAAATATTATATTTTAATACCACTGGCAAGAACGGTATACTTAATGTGGGTTTACTGGAGGTCTGAAAACCCTTTCGTTTTTCGAAATGATAATCTTAATGTGGTTTTCCATTAAAAAAAGGCAATTTAAAAAGCATCGAGGCTTTCGAACTCTGGTTGTACCGCAGAGTACTAAACATATCATGGACTGATACAATTACAAATTAAGAAGTACTGGAGAGGATTGGTAAAGAAACGGAACTAATCACCACTATACAAACCAGAAAACTGGAATACCTAGGCCACGTGATGAGGGGACTAAAATATGAAGATTTGAGACTTCATAATACAGGGAGAGATTTAAGGAATGAAAAACTTAATTGCAGCACTAAATATGACAGTTGCTAGCACCTATTTTGAAGACAACAACATACATAAGGTAACCTGGACCTCTCCTGATGAAAGAACAACGAATCAGATTGATCACATCTTAATAGATTCAAGGTAAGGAACAGACGTAATAAACTGCAAAAGTTATAGAGGCACAAACATAGACTCAGATCATTGCCTAGTGATCTTAATTGAGAATATATAATAGAATTTCAAACACCAGTAAAGAAAATAAAATGGATAGAAAAAAATGGAATGTGCAAAAGCTGAGAGATGTGACAATTGCAGAACGCTACTCTGAAAACATCACCAATAGATGCAACAAAAAAAATTAAGCTTACAGAAGGATGCCTACTAGAAGAACTAGAACATCTGTAGAGAATTACCAGAGAAAGAGAAGAGAAGAAAAGAGGATACACAAAAGAAAAAAAAACAAAACCACTTACTAGGAACTTAATATATAGAAAACCTCAACACGGGAACAACAATAGAATTCAGAACATTCTATAAGAAAGTTAACATCAACAGAAAATAATTCAAGACAACCACAAGACAATGCAAAAGTCAGAATGGCGACCTATTAACAGCAAGGAAATATTTATTGAATAGATGGGTGGAATACTTTAACCATGTACTTAATATAGAGGAGGAAGAAGAAAACCTAAAAGACGAAAGAGATGAGGTAAGGGAAAAAGACGAGAGGGAAGAGGAACCACCAAAGATTCTTAAAGTTAAAGATGTAGTTAATAAACTAGCCAGAAACAAATCACCCGGAATAGATCATCTCCCAGATGAACTATATAAAGAAGGTGGCCATGATACCATAATGGCATTACAGCAGTTTATAAAAGAAATATGGACACAGAAATCCCTTCCTATTAATTGGAATATTGGAATAATATATATTTTAAACGATATACAAAAAGGAGATATCCTTGAATACTTTAACCACAGAGGAATTACGCTTCTAAACGCAACGTATAAAATATTTTCCACGGTACTATGTCACCGTATGGCACCATATGCAGAACGGATAGTAGGAAAATACCAAGCTTGTTTCAGAGGTAAATCGACAATTCATCAGATTGCAACCCTGCGACAAATTTTAGAACAAACACTGGAATATGGCACAGATACTCATCACATATCTGTAAACTACAAAGCAGCCTACGACTCTGAATAGAAGAGAAATGTTTAAAGCAATGAAAGAGCTATGAATGAAAATCAGTTGGTAAATTTAACAAAACTAACTCTTGAAAAAGTTGAATGTAAAGTACGAATTCGGGGGAACTGTGTAAACCTTTTAAAGCAAATAATGGGCTGCGCCAGGGAGACCCTCTCTCCTGTATACTGTTCAATTCGGCTCTTGAAAAAGTAATACGTATGTCACAAATCACAACCATTGGTTCAATATATAATAAATCAGTGCAAATCATTGCCTATGCTGATGATATCAATATTGTTGGGCGAACGGAAAACACTGTACGAGAGGCGTATGTAGCATTAAAAGAATCAGCTACAAAAATGGGTTTAACAATAAACAACAAAACGAAGTACATGAAAATAAGCACGCAACCACAAAACCTACGACCACTTGTTATAGAAATCGAAGTCATCGAAGCAGTGAACGAATATGTATATCTGGAAGCACTCCATAAAATCAAAAATAATACTACCGCAGAGATAAACTGCAGAATTTTCACGGCCAACAGATGCTATTTTGGGCTCAATCTCTACAAAACAATAATACGCCCAGTCCTACCATATGGGTCAGAGACCTGGACTCTAGCAAAAAGTGATGAAAACATGTTAGAATGTTTCGAAAGAAAAGTACTAAGGCAAAGTATGGAGCAATGAATGACAATGGAGTGTGGAAAAGATGATACAACTTCGAACTTTATAGAATATACCAGGAACCAGCTAGAAAAACGCTTCTTGATAGACCCATTGGTCAGAGGAGAGAAAGACCCAGAACAAGGTTCCTTGATAATATCGATGAAGACATCGATACTATCGATAGATATTGTCGATGGAGTGATATTCTTGAGGAGGCTAGGACCCACGCAGGGTTGTAAAGCCAGAATGATGATGATAATGATTTAAGGAAGAAGACCTGTTGGCTGAAGGGAGAATTCTTGGTTGAAGAATCTACTTGATTGATATTGTTCAATCACAAATTAATCCCTTAAATTGTAATCTCACATTATTCTTAACTTCTTAATCTTTTATAGTTTCACTGTGTATAATTAAAATTGTAAAACTATATCGAGTAATATTTTAATAATTGAAGTCCATTCACCTGTTAATAGATTGTCGAATAATATATTTTTCTAATTGAACTTCCTAAGTGTTGCAATTACGGACTAGATTAAATTGTATTGTAAGCTCATAGTTCAAAGTTTATTAGTATGATAGAAGCATTAACCTCTGTGCTGATGTATTCATTATTTGTGAGATTATAAATTGGGGATTTGAGCTCATGTGAGGGCAGTTTATTATAAGTAGTTACCTAACTAACATCATATAGTGTAATTAGTAGTAGATGCCAATAAAACCAACATTTTTAGAAGCTGACAAAGGTTCATTATAAAACGATTCAATCCTTATGTTCGAGTCTTTCCAATACGAATGCACATCGATTGATTTGTTTAGAGCTGCAAGTTCAAAAATAAAAATAGCCGTTATAATTGCCAACCTCCGTAGGGAGCAAAAAACCTTCTTCTAAGAAGGTTTTCGTTCCATTATAGACTCAGTAATATTTCTCTTTTGCCAACCACCGTAGGGAGGAAAAAACCTTCTTCTAAGAAGATGAAGGTTCTCATTCCATTATAGACTCAGTAATAATCCTCTTAAGTGATTGTAGAATTTCAGATACATATTGTCGTGAAATTTATAATTGAACCGAGGACGAACCTTTTGTCAAGGTATAAACAAATAAATATTTCTTATCCTTCATCCAAATACATCCTCTCAAGTTTGTCGGGAAGTTTTACTACCTAATTTCTCCGAATTTATTCAACCCACCTCTCGAGATAATTAAATAAATATTCCGAAACAGTTGTGAACTTGGACATATATTTTTATTATCATTTGTCGTATATATACATAATATTTATGTTGTAGTTCTATATTATTTGAGTTTTCTTGTAGAAGTCATTAATGTCCTATACATTCCTCCTGTAGTAGACGAAATTACCGATGAACAGGACATTGACGGAGATACCAACCTTGAAAAGAAAAAGCTTCGCTTTTTCGCGAATATTGTAGAAACTTTTAGGTTGTATAGAAATACAATGCTTTCAACTGATTATAACTCACAAGATCAAGAGTTTTTGGAAACGAAAAGACAGCGTATATTATCTAAATCTAGAAACAACTCGCGACGTTCGAGACGACAGATACTGAAAATAAGAGAACGTTACATGATCTTGCAGGAAAATCAGCACTCAAACTTTTCTTTTTATTTTTTGATAATGAGGTAATTGGTTTAGTGCTCAATTTTAAGACAAAATACGTTATTAACAATAACAGTTAAGAATTGAACTTTCTTAAAATTATTTTATTTTCCCGACACCCTACGTTACCACAAACCAACTGTACCGGAGTAACAAAGAAGATATGGGTATAAAAATAGTAAAAATCTTTAAATGGATATTTATTTTATAGCATACCGTATGGAATAGCATCGAATGATAAGACATTTGAATACGTTCTCGGTGGTAATACAGTTAGAGCTGCTATCAGAAATAGAAAAATCGGGCAATCATTATATTTTTTTTTGACAATTTTTTTCTTCGGTCGATTTATTTATACAACTAAAATCTAGTAGCAAGAGTTTTGTCCTAATTGTATACTTAAAAATAGTAAAAATATCGGTAAAAAGCGGTAATAAGATACAGTTTTTTATAGAACAAAAATGTCATTAGTACGATGGAATAATAAGGGGAAAGAGTTTTGGGGGAAAATGGCGGTATCCAATATTTATGAATTTTTTGGACAGTATTATTTGTAAGTGCTGAAAAATTATCACGAAGTCAATAATTATAATTTAAATCATATATCCTAGCGTTTGATCAAAAGTAAAAACAAACCAGTTGCGCGAAATATTCCGGAACGGCTGGAAGAAGTTCTGGCAAACATTTTTCTAGGTATTGAAACAAGCAAGTGTTTTTATAAATACATTTTTTTTTATTTTATATTTGTGCCGTTAGCTACCGACACTTTGCAGACATACCATATAGGCACGTCAGACCAAATTTAACTTTAATGTCGCAATTAGAATTTAAATCATATGTTGCCTACCTTCTGATCAAAACTAAAAATAAACTAATTGTGCGAATTATTCCGAAACGACGGGAAGAAGTTAGATTCATGTACCAGCTCATGTACCAGACTACTTTGGAAATCTCTAAAGTTACTTCTGAGATGTCTTCCCTCGACTATAGAACGTCTTCGTTAAAAAACCAAGTTGCTGCAGGTATGTTGGCCTTCGAAGAAAAAATGAAAGATATGGAAAGCAAGAAGTAGGAAACAGGGAGAGCAGAGAGAGAAAACAATCCAA